GACTGACTTCTTCTGCGTTTTTCTCCCGCAGCCAAAAAAATCACATCTGCCTTTACTCTTGCACTTTTGTACTTGCTCTCTCTCCTGCAGCCGAAACAAAGCACAAACCCTTGCTCTTCCTTCGTAGCCGCCAGCAAAGAAAACTCCCACCTTGCTCCGTCCTTTGCACCTAGCCGCCTGCCTATTCCCTCTCTCAATCTTGCACACAAAACCTAGGCTAAAAAACAATGTTCCTATTTATAGCCTATTGGTTAATCGGGTGGGCCTTTGCCTGGGTCTATCACAAGATGCTACTCATGTGGCCCCCACACGCTTTGAAACCGTGTGCTCTGCTGATGTTCGTTCACCTGTGAAGAGCAATCACGTGGGTCTGGCCCACCACACATCCCATTCGTTCACAATTCTCCACCTCGGCGAAGTTTTCTCAAAACTGAGCCGACACCGACCAAACCAAATATCTCACTTGTTGTGTCCAGTACGAAGTGAAACAATTCACGACAACAGACTCAATCCATAATAAGTCGAGAACCCAAATGAGAATGCAAACACTCTCCAAATGTCAGTATCAACTCACCAAATCAATCTCACAAATGAGAATGCAAACACTCTCCAAATGTCAGTATCAACTCACCAAATCAATCTCACCCCCATCAAAATCCAAACCGGCTGTATCATAAAGACTGCCTACGTATCCTCTTGCCCAAGGAATCAAGCCGAACGTAGTTCACTCAAATTGAGGAGATGGCCTATCTTATCCAAAGCATTCCAGACTCCTCAATAAAAGAATGAGTCTGGAATACTATGGAGGGGGTATCTGTAGGCGTCTAAAAATGCCTATAGATGTCCGCACACAGCTCGAGACAGAGAGAAGACGCCTCCAAAGACCTCAATTCACTAGAAGAGTTCGCAACCCTTCTCCAATATCATCAACTCTGCGGCTGATATCACCTCCAATGGCCTCAAACATATAGGCGTCTAAAAATGCCTATAGATGTCCGCACACAGCTCGAGACAGAGAGAAGACGACGAACATCGTTATCCGAGTCTAAGAGGATTATCTGACGCCGACAAGCGCCTGGAGCAAAACGGCGAATCAAGTGACCTGCGCGCTCGACAGTCAGCTCGCGCGCGCCAATCAGCTCGCATGCGTCAAACAACTCAAAGCATACAAATCAACGAAGCGAACCAAACACGCGAAAGGACAAGTCTCGAAGAAAGAGAACGGAAAAGGATAAGAAGTCGGCGAACCCGCGCGAGCGCAGGACGGGGCGATCCGACCCGCTCATGCGCGGGTCGGATTGAATCCGACCCGCACGAGCGCGGGTCGGATGATTCTGACCCGCGCGAGCGTGGGTCGGATCTGTCCGACCCGCGCAAGTGCGGGTCAGACCAGTCTGCCGCGCTGTTTTGACCCCCTGATGTGTTTTTTGACGGTTTTAATGGTTTTCTCGAGATCTTTTCAGTTCCAGAGGTTCCTAACTGACTTGATATCATCTACAAACGTGGTTAGGCCGCGCGGGTCGGATTGAATCCGACCCGCACGAGCGCGGGTCGGATGATTCCGACCCGCGCGAGCGCGGGTCGGATCTGTCCGACCAGCGCAAGCGCGGGTCAGACCAGTTTGTCGCGCTGTTTTGACCCCCTGATGTGTTTTTTGACGGTTTTAATGGTTTTCTCGATATCTTTTCAGTTCCAGAGGTTCCTAACTGACTTGATATCATCTACAAACGTGGTTAGGCCGTTATTGACTAAAGATAAGACCAAATCACTTGTTCTCATCCAAATAACCGCTTCCGAAGCTTATAAATACGAGCCCGGGTCCCAATGGCCTCAAACACCTCCACCTGAGGTGAACCAATGGTCATATTCAAACTACATCTATCATGTGCACTCGAGTCAAAACCCAACTCATCATCTGCATCCGAATCCAAATGACTTCCACGCTGTGTCACCTCAGCTGGAATTCTAACCAATGCAGAATGACCTGGAGTATGTGGGAAAATCCCCACCCAATATGGAGTAGCATCAGTCTCCACCCGCTGCGATACCTCTAAGGTCTGTCCAAAACTCTCCACCTGCTGAGAGTCAATTAGCTCCCTCATCGAAGCCTCAACCAAAATGACACTACCAGACCTATCTTCTAATGAAGTTTTACCTCCAATCACATCAGTTGACAACTCTATAATAGAATGACCCAAATATGTCGAAGCCTCAGTCCAGAAACTCTTCTGCAAACCATTGCTCGACCACAAACACCGATCCTCCTCCAGTAAGGCACGGTTCTCAAAATTTGCCACCCTATCTAGTTGCCCCAAGATTTCCTTTCTAACAAAGTGTCTCGAAATGCCGTGAGCTCGGCTCCAATACAGAAATAGGTCCATCTTGTACCTCCCACCAGAATGGAGTACCTTCACCTTTCTGTCTATTACATACTTCTTCAATCTGTTGGATACTACTAGGACTTTCTCCAAAGGAGATTTAGTTGCAACCCAAACACGCCTAGAACAGTCACCAACAAAGGAAATCAAACGCCTATTACCTCCCAATGATGCCCCCTTGGAAGGCCCCCAAACATCCACGTGAACTCCTCTAGAACGACCCTTAGCACGGTGAATAGAGGTGCCAAACTTCACCTTGGTCTTCTTGCTCACATCAACATGTTCACTGGACTTCAAACCGCGGGTCTTCGCACCCTCTTTCAATCTATGCGAGGAATCCATACTGGAATGGCCAAGCCCCAAATGCCGCAGTCTAGTCGAATCAACAGAAGTCGCCAGCTCTCCACCTGTTACTATACCTCCAGTCAAGTAATACAGGTTATTCCTCCTGACGCCCTTCATCAAAATACGAGAGTCTCTCGCAATCTCGAGAACCATGTCCTCAACACGAACCTTCAGACCCTCTCCAACCAAAGCTCCAATCAAGATCAAGTTCTTCCTCTAAGAAGGAACATATCTCACATCATTTATCTCCCTAAGGAACATATCTCACATCATTTATCTCCCTAACAGTCCCGTCAAACATTTTTATGCGAATTCTTCCTATCCCAGCAGGTCACTTGGATCCGACCTTCCAAATCGCAGGTCACTTGGATCCGACCTTCCACTTTGCAGGTCACTTGGATCCGACCTTTCAAATCGCAGGTCACTTGGATCCGACCCTCCACTTTGCGGGTCGCTTGGATCCGACCCTCCACTTCGCGGGTCACTTGGATCCGACCTTCCAAATTGCGGGTCACCTGGATCCGACCCTCCATCCCGCGGGTCACTCAAATCTGACCCGCGCCAGGGTCGAGACAGAAGACGTTCTGCATCTGTTTCGTCGATCCCTGTGAGTTCCGCACCTCCGACGGAGCACCGGGACAGTGTGGACTCTCCGAATAGCTATCTGTAGGACTGATAGAAAGCGAATAAATAGAAGAGTCAGAATTATTACCATCCGATTATTGTATGTTTAAAATTAGAAATTATATCTATTCTTCTATACTTAAAGAATGATGCAAGTTTAAAATTAGAAATTATATCTATTCTTCTATACTTAAAGAATGATGCAAGTTTTAATACATTTGATATAGAATTCATATTTATTCCTTTATACTTAAAAAATGATCTAAGTTTTAATACATTTGATTTAAAAGTTATATTTATATTTAAAGAAAGATCCAAATATTAATACTGTAGCAAAAAAAAAAAATTATGTCATGCTACAGTTTTTGCTGTAGCATATAACAGTACTTCAAGCGTAAATGACAGATTTTGTTTACTATTTATACCATAATAATTTAATGTAGCATTTTTATTGTATCATGAACAGTGATTCTTTGAATCCTCCTATAAGTATAGAATAGTAGATTGTCCTAAGCTATCATTAGTCACTCTTTGCTAATTGCCTCACTTTGGCAGCGGTAGTTGGGTGTTGGACACATGTCCTGGTCGACCTCATATTTTTTGTGTCTTATAGTACGAAAATAGCATAAAACCTGTATAATTTAGATCATATCTTTCTTCATTATGTCATTTATTCAAAATAACTATTCATATAGGAAAATTCACAAAATCTCCTCTAAGTTTGGCGATTTTGAGATAACCATTCTAAACTTTTGAAATGTACGTCACTTATCCCCTTTTAGGTTTCAAAATTTCAGAAAAACCTGAAATATATTCAAAATTTCAACTAATCTCCCTAAACAGTATTGGATAAACCGGCAGAAAAGACCAAAATGCCCTTTTTCAGTTAACATTTCAATTAATTAATTATTAAAATCTTAATTAAACTCCTAGTCCTTGTCGTAATCTAATTTTTAAATTAACCTGAATTCGACTCACTTTCAAATTATTAAAATAGGAAATGAAATGGTTTTTAATACCACGAGCATTATGCTTGTTTACTAGGCTCTGCTTAGTTAGGCCACAAATTGGGTCACCTGTTCTGGTCCCAACCCCTCCGAGGTCCAAATCAGAACCGCCAAATTGGGTCACCTGGTCCCAACCCCACCGAGGTCCAAATCAGAACCTCGCACGAGTCCGTCAAACCTAGCGGCCTATGGCGAGGCGGCCCCTCGATCTACAGTGGAGCCCTCAATGATTGGACCATCACGACCCCATTTTAGTCATTATCCCCTCCAGCCTCCAAACCCCCTCCCCTCCTTTCAAATCGACGCTCCCTTCCCTCCCTTTTCCCCATAAAACGACACGCACGCCCACCGCTCCCCCCTCTCTCGCTCGCTCGCTCGCTCGCTCTCCCCACCCAAGATCCCACCGTCTAATTAAAAATACGAACGAACTCGGCCCAAGAGCGAGCGCCCAGAGAAAACACCGCAAAAAACTATGTCATCGACGAGAAGACCAGCAGCAACGAGGTCAAAGTGGCACCCCCCTCCTCCTCCCACCCCCAAAATCCTCCAGCTCCCTCGCCGGATTAAGCTCCAGTCGAAAAAGCCCGGCCCGGCTCATCGCAATCTCGGCTCCTTGATCGCCGAAGAAAT